TCCACCTCATTCATCGAGAGGGATCAGGTGACAGGAGCTCAGCTGGCAGGGCTCTCCCCGCACGGCAGCATGTCAAGGGCATGAATGAGGGTTGCTGTGTTGCCTCCAGCCCCAACTCACAGCAAAGTCTCGTCCTGCGTTTGTGGAGTGACTGAGTGAATGAGGACTTCACCTGACCCTTCCTCATCCCCGTGCCCTGCGCCCTCACAGAACCCCCAACACCCACACCTGGCAGAACCGCCTGCTCCAGGGTGTCAGTGGGGCTCCCAGTCTCCACACTGGTGACATTCGGGGTGGATGACACTTTGTTGCAGGGCTGTCCTGTGCACCATGGATGTTTAGCAGCATCCCGGGCCTCCACCCACTACCCAGCCCTGGCCAAGTTGGGACAAAGAAGATGTCTGAGGACACCAGATGTCCATGGGTAGAGTTGGCCCCAACTGAAAACTTCAGGTTTGCACAACACTGAGACTCTCTCAGGCCAGGCCGGGAAGGGGCCACTTCCTGGTGCAAACCAGCAAGCAGTAAAGTCACTGCAGCCTGCGCAGCAGGACCCTTAGGACACTCGTGTGCCCTTCTCTCCAGAGATGGAGGTCTATGGTGAGCCCCTCAAAGGATGAGGACGTAGGTGAAAGTCCACAGGCCAGACGGGCAGGACCCCAGTGTGTGATTCAGGCTCTGGTACCTGAGTGTCATGCCAAGGTCTGAGGGGGACATGGTCTCTGCTCTTTCAATGAGCAGGTCTCTGGGGTCTCCCAACGTCTCCCCACACCCCCTGGGTAAAGCCATCATGTGACTCTGAGGCTTTGCATGTGCAGTTCCACCTCCTGAAACGCCCTTCCCTCCCCACCCCTATCTCTGCTAGCCCTGGTCACCTGCAGGCCCCGTCTCCACTGTCATCCAGGTGTGTGTGTGTGTGTGTGCGTGTGTGTGTTTGCACGTGTGTATGTGTGTGTGTGTGTGAGTCTCGTATGACACAAACTGGATGGTGGGTCCCCCCATTCACTAACAGAGGTCCTTGGTGGCTGCTGGTGTCCCCTGCGCTATCCCAGCCCTACTGTGTGTGCAGGGAGTGTCCGCACCCACAGCCTCAGGGCCATCGTCGGGAGCTGTTGCTCTGCAGACCGGATGGAAAAGGGTGAAAATGGATAAAGAATGTGAGGCCGTGCTGGGTGGCCACCTGGGTTAGAGAGAAAATAACTCAGAGAAAGGAGAGTACGACACACGGGGGACAGTTTCCGTGTGACGGTGTGAGGAGGCGGTGTCTAGGCACAGCATGAGGGCGGTGAGGAGTCAGGCTCTGCCTGTGAGTCAGGAACAGCGTCGCAGGAGGAGGGAAGAGGGAACAGCGAGTGCAGTGCTCAGAGGCAGCGGCAGGCCGGGTGCTGGGGACTCTCCGGGGCCCGTGTGTGACAGCAGAGGTGGCAGGAGGGAGGAGCAGGGGGAGGACGGGGCTGACACCCAGGAAGCCGGAGCCTTTGGGGACAGCAGGGACAGGACTGCACTTGCACCGTGACAGGACCTCGGCTGCCCTGGTCAGGGAGACTGGGAAGGCGCCATCAGGGGGAGGGACGGTGGCTGCAGCAGGGGGGCGGGGCCAGGCTGAGCAGGTGATGTGGGACATGGGGAAGGTCACACTCACAGGGTTTCTGAGGGGAGTGGTCATCAGGGGACGGGAAGACACGGATGATCCAAAGCCGCCCCCGAACCCCCGGAAAGAAAGAACCGGGGCCAAAAGGGCCGCCGAAGGAAGGCCTTGCAAGGCAAGGGCAACCCCGAAAAGCCAAACGGCCGCAAAAGGGGGAAAACAAGGAAAAAACCGGAACACAGGGGCCGCAACCCAAGAAGGGAACCCAAGGGGAACGGTGGGGGGAAAAAAACGCAAACGAAAAAGGAAAGAAAGGGGTAACGTGAGCAAGTAATTCCTCATAAATCACGAGCAGCATTAGCCTAATTCAGCAAGTGCCCTTGTGTGCATCTATGAAAGTCACTGAAAGCAGGGACTTGATCAGATGCTGGCAAACCCCTGTCCATGGCAGTTTATTCACAATCGCCAAGAAGTGGAAGTGACCCACGTCTCCAGTGACAGATGAATGGATAAGCAAAAACATGTCTATTTGTATACAAAATATTATTCTTCCTTCTAAAACAGGAACTTCTGACACATGCCTCCAAATGGAAGGACCTTCAGGACTCTGTGCTAAGTGAAATCAGCCAGTCACAAAAAGACCAATTCTGTGCGACTCCACTTCCTTGAGTGGAAGTAGAAACAGAAGTAGAGCCGTGGTTGCCAGGAAGTAGGTGATGGGAAGACTCAGGGAACTGTAGTTGATGGGGTGGAGTTTCGGTTTTGCAAGATAAGAAAGCTCTGGAGATCTGTTGCACAACATTGAGAATATACTCAATACCACTGAACTGCATGCTTAAAAATAGTTAAGATGTATATTATATGTTATGTGTTTTTTCCACAATTAAAATATTAAAAAAAACCAAATAATGTATTTTATTCCTTTAATGGACAAAGTAGGAAAACCTTATGCAAAATTATCTGACAAACTTTAATACCAATTTATGATTAAAATTCTCAGCAATCCGGAAATAGCAGGGCACAGTGTACAGTCCGAGGATGAGATCTGCAATATCCCACTTTGTTTGAAAGACTGAGAACTTTTTCCCCTAGCATTGGAAACAAGGCGAGAGTGGCTGCTGTCGCCACTTCTAGTAAACATGCTGTAGCCTCTTCCCAGTGCAATAAAAAGAGGAAAAGAAATTAGAGCTATTCAGATCTTAGAGAAGGAGGTAAACCTGTTTTTATTCACAGACAACGTGATTAAGTACAGACAAAATCTACAGTTTTCCACAAAGATGCTACTAAACCAAGGTGGTAGCATATTGGTTCAAAGTACAAAATACTATTGGATATCTATATGTTAGCCAAGGACAATTAGAAATAAAATGTTTTTGTATTATTTTTGTTTACACTTTAGTGTAACATTATACACATGAAATAAATTTAAAAAATACATGTAAGACCTTTATTTGAAAAATACAAAACATTGCTGAGGCAAAAGGAGATCTAAATAATATATATGTCCTAAATACATACATGTTTACACACACACACACCCATGCAACGTTCATGGAGGGGAAGACAACATTCTTAAGATCCCAGTTTTCTCCAAATTGATCCATAAATTCAATGTAATTTCAAACAAATTTTCGGGAAGAGCTTTTGTAGAAATTGGCAAGTAGATTCCAAAATGTATATGGAAAATCAAAGTCTAGAACGTCCTAACATTGTGAAAATCGCCCCTCAATCCATTTAAGGAGACGCCCTGAATCCCCTGTCCTGTCTCCCAGGACCCCCACTGCCTCCACAGCCCCGAGTGACACGGCAGGGACAAGTTCTCCACATCCAGGGGCAGGAGCTGTTTCCCCACAGAGCCTGATGGCTCCCAGGGGTGGGCCACTCCCCGCTGGCTGTCCTCATTCCCTGTCCCTGAGCACAGACTCCCAGCAGAGGGGTCTGCGAGAGCAAAGCCCTGAGCCAGGGCAGAGTGGCAGGTTCTGGGACAGGGAGGGGAAGGAGGGCCAGGCACAGGGACAGCTGTCTAGAGATCAGTGTCAGAGGCTGGGGCAGCGGTGACCAAGGGGACACTGGTCCCTCTGTCACCTCCCACAGCCCCAGTGCTGAGAACATGCCAGCACCTCTGCTGGGCGCTCACCCTGCTCCGGGCGCTGCGCTGCGTGGTCTGTGCCATCCCACCTCTCCTCACCCCTCCCACCCCGAGTCCTGGCCGCAGCCCTCACCCCAGCGTCGCCAGGACTTGAACTCAGCCCGGGGGGGAGCAGCCCCAGCCTCTGCCTGGGCAGCCCCAGCACAGGGTCCTCCCGGTGACCTGTTCAGCGCCCTGCGGGACGGTGAGGGCAGCACTGGGTCTGCCACACTCGCCTGCTTCTCTCTTCCCCAGAGAGGACCCGACCCTGTGTGTCTGAAGGAATGAATGACAGTGAGGGCAGCCTGGGTCTGCCACACTCGCCTGCTTCTCTCTTCCCCAGAGAGGACCCGTCCCTGTGTGTCTGGAGGAACCAGTGACACAGTGGGCGCAGGGAAGGCGGCCTCCCTCCCGCTACTACAGGAAACAGAAATATCACTTGAGGACTCAGAAAGGTTAACATTTAAGATGACAAATGCCGACACTATGCAAGCAATAAACAAAAGACAGTTGGTGGCACTTTCCTAATATTGATGAATGAGTCCCAAGGCAAAGTGCTTCAGCACCGACGATGAAAGGAAACTTTATAAAGATCAAAGTTTTAACCATCAGAATAAGAAACAAATTCTAAATATGTGTGCATCTACTCATGGAGCTTTGAAACACACAAAACACCCATATTCACAGAGTCCCAGCTGCTGTCGTGAGGGGCTCCAGGTGCCGGGAGACCTCATGTTTCCCCAGCTGGACAGTGACTCCATGAGGGCAGCGCCTGGGTCTGCTGTGCTGACCTCCATGTGCAGAGAGGGGACGGCCACAGGTGGTGCTGAGTTGGGAGGAGGCAACTGCCCACCCCGCCTGGGCCACCACCACGGCCATGTCCCTCAGTCCCACCCCTGACCCCACAAACATCTGCAATACAGGACTCTTGGTCCAGCCAGATGGGACCCATTATCATCATCTTCCTGAAAATGTCACCTGGGAGGAAGGACTTTGACAGGGAGGTAGATGTGGTTGGGGTCTGCATGGGGTGGGAACCTTCGTGACTGTCACCCTGTCTGGGCACAGGATCCCCAGGAGTGGATGTGGGTGGTGACAATCTCTAAGTCCTGCCCTGGTCCTCACAGTGTCATTATATGAAGTTCCTCCTCTGAGGAGGGTCAGGGTTCTGATCTCACCCCGTCTTCCTGTGGGGCCTCCTCTAAGTCCTGCAGCTCTCAGTTCCCGAGAGAAGAACCCCGAGGAGCAGACTGTCCCCAGTGGCCCTGGCACCTGAGCCCGGACATGCTGCTGCTGCTGGCCCTGCTCTGGGGAACAGCGGGGGTGGAGGGATGGGGAGGGGATAGGGGAGGTTACAGGCTGCAAGTGCAGAGTGTGGTGACGGTGCAGGAGGGCCTGTGTGTCCACGTGTCCTGCTCCTTCTACTATCCCCGGCACGGCTGGAACCACTCTGACCCAGTTCACAGCTACTGGTTCAGGGAAGGGGCCAATCCACACCATG